ATAATTTATATTCTTCTCATGGACCATGTTATCGGAACAGATAATTACAATTTATTTATTAGTTTTTTTTTTCTTCTTTTCTTTTCCTTAATATTAAATAGTTCTATTTTACTATGTATTTTTTTTGTAATAAACAAAAATATTTGCATTTACCATTTATAGAGCACCGACTTGTAAAATAGGAATAAGTAATTTAAAAGCATCTTCAATGTACGAGCTTGCATTTTCAGCCTAAAGAAATAAAATCAAAAAAACGTAATATTAGCAACGATGATATTATTGTACATAACTTATAAGATATTTATAATATTTATATATTTACTTCGAGAAAAATTGTTGTTATATTAGCATTGATGCTGTCTGAATTATTAGACATTTTAATAAACTCGTTTAATACATTACAAAAGTTTGTAGCCAACAAACTAATCTCATCAGTTATGATATGCGTTAGATCAACGAGTGCTTCAGCTTCACTCGCTGTACTACGTCTTTCTTTAATTAAAAGTAACTCTGCAGTTTTGTGAAACCTCTCCACACTGACAGCAGTAAACTTTGCTATGGTAGAAATAGCATATTGAAAAATTTCTAGATTTGTATGAGACATAGGTGTAGCAAGATAAGAGCTAGATTTAGCTTCATTCAAAACCTATAAAAATAAAAAATGTATTCTCACTAAATAAGAAGTGTATAGGTAAGCAACAAATAGATATTGTCAATACAATTTTCTTACATGATCGAGTTGTTCGTACGTGATGGCAAGTTCTAAATTTTGGCAAGCATCTGCTAAACGACTTTTCAGATCTTTGTCTTTACTTGGTCTATTTTCATCATCATCATCTAAATCACAAAGCTCTTTAACTTGTTCTAATGTTTCTTGCAAATATACCAAATCCTCCGTGTCAAGGTTAATCAAATGCGATTGAATTTTAATGTTACATTGTTTCGACAACATTTCTAATGCTTCTAAATGAACCAAACCTTGATAATCGTCAAACAAAGATTCGAAATGAACTTTCCTAGCTAATTGTTTCTCTTCTATTGTTTTCTCTTCTGATTCTGCCTTCTCTTTAACTTCTCTAAGTATTTGAGATAAATTAGGTTTGTTTCCTTCTGTCATGAAAAATGCTTTCTTCTTTTTCAAACCAGGATCACCTTCTTGCAAAACTTCCATTGTCTTTTTACCGATAGCTTCTAAAGTGTCCAAACCACCACTCATTACTTTACTACCAGTTGATTCGACTAATTTAGTGATGGATGATACTCCATATAGAAAACTACTTAAACCAAAAGTTCCTTGCGATAAATTGGATACATTTTCTTTAGAATCTTTTACTGTAAATACAAATGTAAATTAGATAATTATTTATTTATATTAACATATAGTTATAGATTAAAAAAAGAATAATTTATTATACCAGAAATTACAGTTTTTTCTTTTTCATCTGTCTCTTTATCTTGTTCTTTTTCTTTTTGAGAATTTTCTATCATATGTGACTCGCTAGTATCCGGTATGTTTATCGTCTCTTCCAAAAGTGATAAACCTTGACTAACATGACTTGTCAAAGTAGAAACTCCAACAGTAGCAGTGTTTATTAATGAACTTACACCCCAATTACCCCAATTCGACCATAATGAATTATCAGAATCTTTGTCATCCATTGACAATCTATCTAATACAGGTTGAATTTTCTGTTCTGTCAAATCTTCTTCTAATTCAATGCTATTACCAAGTTTTTCCCAACCTTGTGGTTTAAATATCTCTTTAAATTTTTTATCAGATTTCAATTCCTCAGGCATGTCTATTTCAGGATCATCTGTGTCTGACAATTTACTGGAAACAATGTTCATACCTTTAATAGGTTCTTTAGAAATGACATTTGTCGAGGTTATATTTTCTTGAACATTTGTTGAGATTAGATTTTTTTCAATCACATTTTGTTCAATCGTTTTACATTTAATTTCAGATTCTTTTTCAATCTTAGTTCCTAACTTTCGAGCACCAAGTTTTTTAATACCATCAGTTGTTCTTCGAGGTCTTGACGACGTTTCTTCTTTCATATTAGTCTTAGAACTTACTTTCATAGAATTATCTTTAATCGTAGCTGAAGTTTTTGATGAACTATCTTCAACTATCACAGTTTTTGTTATTGTATCAGAACTAGCAGAAGCATTATCTTCCATTTTGTTTGTTAATACTTTAGTTTCCTTATCGTCAGACTTTTTAGTAACTGTATCCTTTAAATTACCAATTTTATCATTATCGGATGAAATTTCTCTTTTGTATGAACGATATCTAGGTTTTTCACAGATTACCATATTTCTCCTAGGTACTCGTGGAATGCATTCAGTGTCATCGTCAGATTCAGAATCAACTACTGATTGCATTGTATTCCATTTCATATCATCAACTTTAGTCTTGGAAGTTCCGCCATGTGCTAATTCCTCATCAGCGCTCTCAAAATCGTCACTTTCTGACGTTGCCATAATTATCATCAAAATTGAGGTTATCTAGAATTTTTTATTTTTTTTTATTTTTTTATTTATTGATATATCTCACTTTTTCTTTCTTTTATTATTACATTTATCATTCAATTGTGTGTTACATGTCGTATACTTATCATCATCATCATTATCATCATCATACGTCACGATGAATACACATGGTTAACAACATACATATAATTGAGTACTGTAATTCAAATTGTTTTAATCTATCACGTGGTATACATATAAAAACTATTATTAATATTTATATACAGTTATCGAACAACAACGTTAAAATAAATGCCTTCGTGGCACAACATCTGTTTTATTAAATGTCCAAACTGCGCATGCGAGATAACATTAATTTAAATAGACTCTCAAATGAAAACTAGTCCCTTTAAATTAACCTCAATTAATCCTCAATAATATTACATACTATCCATCTTGTTTATCATCACTTATTACGTCAATTAATATATTTATTTATCAAATAATATTAAAATTGTAAAAAATATCATTGTTTCAATTATATTTGTAATTGTACAATTAAATATTTCATTTTATAGTTAATATTAAGGCTCGCATTTAATCGACCAATCAACGACGTCTTCTTCGCGTATTGATACCAATTTCTCGAACTATTTTCCTTACTTGGAAGAAAACAAAAATATCGCAAATTAACTTTGGTTTTATTTTTTAATTAACATTGTTAATAACAATGAAAAGAAGATATTGCATGTGTTAGTCATTTCTTCTTTTTTTTTTATTAATTATCGTTTATAAAAAGATTTTATATAAAAGAATTATTCAAATAAAATGAAATGTATCATTCTGCGCATGCGTATTCTTCGTGTAATTGTTTGAATTTCGCGCCATTTCCACATTTTAAAATTAAAAAGTTATTCCGCCTTTTTTCTATACTATAAATCAATGTATTTAATAAAATACTTTTAGATATTTTCTATGTTAATAAATAAATAAATAAATAAATTAATTAATTAATTTATAATAATAAATATATATATTGAAAATCCTTACACAATTTATTAATAAAGCGAATATATATGATATTAATTAATTCCCTTTCTTTTGCTAAAATATATACATATATTCATATCATTTCAATATCATACTTTTATTTATCTTGAAACAAATTGCCTCAGAGTAATTTGAATTTTGCGTGATGGCATTGTTGCAAGTTCCGAGTGTAAACTCGTTGGGTAGTTCGCAAAAGGAATCGTCCTGAATATAATAGGAAGGTTTCAAAGGGGGGAGGTAAGAGTTATCTTCCTGGCGTGTGAGTGCAAGGTGTAAACAAGAGAGAAATAGAAAGATAGAGAAATTAGAAAGATGAGAAAGATAGAAGAAAGATGGAAAGATAGAGAGGAAAGGGGGATGAGTGAGTGAGAGAGAGTGATGAGAGAGAGAGAGAGAGGTGAGATAGAAACGAGACGGGCCGAATTGAATTCTTGCTCAAGTTGAAACAACCAGATCGTTGGGTATCGTTGATTAATCTTACTTCTGTCAGAACAAACAGTGTTTGTAACGTTACCACTTCCATATGCTACCCCAACATAGAAACCGTTTCAAAGATTGAGGACACTTTGGTTACCGACAACGACGATGGCAATTAATTTAACTCCATTCTAACTGTCCCAAGAGCTTTCTTAGTTGAGTTTATAACGATATTGACACGGTCCAATGGTTTTCTTTTAAAATACACTTTATCTATCTATCTCTTTATTTCATAGATTTACATCTATATTCCATTAGCCTTTATTATTTTTCTTAAGTATTGTCTTCTTATTATTTTCTAATTAAAATAATATTAATCCTTATCGGTTATCATAGGTTTTTGTGAAGGAGGAAGGAATACAACTATATGAAATTATTAATTATTTAATTATTAATAAGATATTTTTATTGAAGTGAAAACTTTTTTAAAATATGTGTGATTTGAAAAAAAATGAATTATTTACTATTTTTGTAATTATTATAAAAATACGCGCCTGTATGAATGCAACTCTCCAGACACACTTGGAAAATGTGAAAGATAGGCAACCCGTCATACATACGTGTATAAACAGTTTTGACTGGAAAAAAATTCCGTCCCATTAGATGGCGCTCGCAAGCAGCATTTTCAAAGTGTGTCTGGAGGGTTGCATACGAACAGGCGCGTATTTTTATAATTACCTTAATAATTAAATAAATAATTACAAATTAAAGGTACAAATAATATTATAATATTATAATTTCATATCATTACATATTATTGTAATTATTTTATATAATAATATTTTATTAATAATAAACAAAAATCATAATATTCTAATATTTAATTATAATATATGAGAAAGAGAGAGAGAGAGAGAGAGAGAGAAAGAGAGAGAGAGAGAGAGGTAGAAGAGATTAATTTTGCGAAACACCCAATGTGTAATTTCAAGGTAAGAATATATGCACTAGATAAACCTTTGCCACTTTGTGTGACGAACTTAATGAGATTTCTGCAAAGAAACATCTTCCTTTCTCTTAAATTTATTTCTTTCATTAAAACATCTAATCATTTTTTTTCTTTTTATTATTTATTATTACTTTATTAAATAATAACGAGACGTTTCAAAAAAAAAAAAAAAATGATTTCCTCTTTTTCCGACAAAAATGTTCAACTTTTAAGTCAAACTATAGAAAAAAAAAAAAAGAAAAAAAAAAGAAAGAAAAAAAGAAATGTTTCATTACCAAATTTAATACGTCTGAAAAAGGGTTAAATTGTGACAAAAATACATTGTCATGTATAATCAAATTGGAAATAAATTACGATTAAAATTATTCCTCTTTCTATTTTACACATTTATTTTGATTTTTATTTTTATTTGAATTATCATTGAATGTAAATGAGAATTTGGGGATGGACTTTTATGATAAAAAAGAGAGAGAGAGAGATGATAAATATAAATGTAAAACAACCTTCTCTCTATTTTATTTACGAAGTTTTGGTAAAGCCTGCTAATATTTCTCAAAAATAAATGAATGGGGTTTTCTCGGTTTTGTATTTAAATACGATATTTTATTCATTTATTGAGAAGGGGAAAGGGACTTTAAATTATTCTGTAAATTTCATAGTAAAAAATTTTATCTTCGAAATACTATTTTAAAATGCATATATATGTGCTAATGAGAGAATTATTGTATAATGACATATATATATATGTATAAATCCTTTTATAATACCCACTCCTTAATTTTATTTCAAAACTTACTGAATAAAAAGACTTTGAACTTTAGAAAAATCCTTTGAGAGTTGTAAAAAATATGTTTTCTTATACGACATGTGAAAAAAATTAAATTAAAAGAAAAATAAAAACATTAAATGTTTAATACATCTTAATGAGAATCTTAGCAATAATTTTTCCTTATTAAATGTAACTTAGTTACTAGTTACTAAATATCCCTTTGACTGTTAGAGTCAATTATATTGCTAGAAAAATCATATTGCTAAAGAAATTATACACACACAGTGGAGGAGGGGATTTAATATGTGTGATAATGAGAACCCCCTCTTTTTTTCGAGGTTTCCCTTAATGCCAATTTAATAATAAATAAAAATAAAATCAAAAGAAATTAATTATATCGGCTAAAGAAATGATTATAATTGCAAGAGCAAAATAACATTTGTTTTAGGGAAATTTTATAATACTCTACATAGAATTTATATATGGATAGAAACAATGGTATATTAATAATAATAATAATAATTAATAAATAATAATAAAAAGAAATTATATTGCTAAAGAAACTATATTGCAAGTGTAAAATAAAATTGCTCTAGAGAAATTTATAAATGCTACAAGAATTTATATATAACTATATAAAGAAAATAATATACTAATAATAATAATAATAATACTAATAATAATAATAAAAAGAAATAAATATTGCAAGAAAAAAAATTGCTAGGAAAATTTGTAATGCTATAAAATTTATATAACTAAAGAAAATGATTTAATAGTAATAATAATAATAAAAAGAATTTATATTTCCAATAGTTAAAAATTAAATTGCTAGGAAAATTTATAAATGGCTACAAGAATTTCTATAACTAAAGAAAATTATTTAATAATAATAATAATATTTAATAATAATAAAAAGAAATTTATTATATTTCCAACAGCAAAATAAAATTACTAGGGAAACTATAAATGCTATAAAAAACTTAAATATCTAGAGAAAACTGATATAATTTCTAGTATTATTTTTAGGAATCTTATATTATTATTTATTAATAAATAATAATTATTACTAGAAAGGAAAATTATATTTTGAAATTGAATTATCAGGGATAGCGCGAACGCAGTCCCTACTACCAAAAATTGTACGCCCGAGATATCCACATTAGGGATATTCGCAAGGGTCAGCTCAACCTAAGTGCAATGGAAGAGCCTCACCCTGGAGGAACCGCCTTGGTGATCACGGTAACCTCTGCGCCAGGTAAGTATGCTTTCCTTCGTTTCGGCAACCTATTTCAAATCATTTCAATAACGTAATACTAGCGAGAAACTTCAACACCCCATGCGAATACTAGCGACAATTTTTGGTACTAAAGTCTACTCTCTACAGGGAATCAAACACATGCTTGATATACATGTGCATACACACATATATATATATATATACAATGTATATATGAATGTGAGTTCTAATGAATCCTTATGAAATTATTTAAATAGGTTACGTTAGTTAATTAAATGTTACAGAATATTAAAACATGATGTTTCTATTATTATAAACATTCATTTTAATGAAATTATATTAAACTAAATGCGAACAAAACGGATGGGCGTGTTATATACGTTTCAATGTGTGCTTAAGTAATATTAAAAATAATAAATTTAAAATAATAATGAAAAAAAAAAAAAAACAACATTGAAAGAGAGTTAATAAACGTACATTGATAGTTACGCTAGTTAATGTCTTTTTTTTTTTGTCGAATAAATAATGTTATTTTCCCTCGTGTATAAGAGTTCAACCCTTTTATTATTCAACTAACAATGGAAACACGTTCAATGTCATGGGAGTTTAATATAAAAAAAAAAAAAAAAGAAATTAAAGAATATTCCTTTGAGATATTCTATGTGAATACGCAGACCATATATAATGCTTATAATTAGTGAAGAAACATTATATAGGGTGTCTGGGATTTTTTTCGGTTAAATGGTGTCGATGTATATTCTTAAATGAAGATATTATATTAGAAAATATATAAATATATAAAATGTATAAATATATATAATATATAATTATATAATATATAGAAAAAAATATTAATGATTAAATATATATTAAATATATAAAATATATAAATATAATTATAAAAAATATAAAATAAAAAATATTAATAATTAAATATATATTAAATATATTAAATATATAAAATACATAAATACAAAATATATAAAAAAAATATTATTAATTAAATATATAATAAATATACCATGTATCCCGAAAGGGAAGCATTATTCTAATAAAAAAATATATATATATAATAAATATATAAAATATTATTATAAAAAATAAAAAATATTAATAACTAAATATATATATATATATATATATAGGGGAAAAAATTCTGTATGGTATGCTATAAATATTAAAAATTATTAACAATTAAATAAAGAAAAATATAAGAAAATAGGCAAAACATAATTTATCTATGTTAACAATTTTCTTTCATTCCACTAATACAAAAAACTTATTAAAAATGAAAAAGAAAAGTAGTAAAAAAGAAATAAAAAAGAAATAAAAAAGAAAGAACAAGTTACAACCAAAGAAGGAAGGCATAGGACAATATTCTAAGAAGGTGCTGGTTTTGTAAAGCAGATATTGCTAAAGTTTTACAGTACTTTATAATCACGTACGACATAATCTTCCTTCCCTTTTACATTTCTCATTTCTCATTGTCCTACTGTACTTTCTTTCCATTTTAGTTTTCTTTACGAAATAATTAGCAATCGTTGCTATCGGTATTTTTGCGTTAACATTCAAAAACTAAACTAAATTACTTTTATTTCTTTTTATAATTAATTATTTCAAACTCATGTATATATATATATATATATAATATATTTAATATTTAATATTAAAAATTGTAATATGAAATATAACAAAAAAAATAAAGTTTAAAAGTATATTTCTTGAATTGTAAAAAAAAAAACAAAACAAATAGATTAATTTAATATTATTATTTATATATATAATTAATTTTTAATTTTAACATTAACTCAAAATTATTTGTCATATTATATATTTAATATTTAATATTAAAAATTGTAATATGAAATATTACAAATGAAAGTTTAAAAAAGTTGTTTACATTGGAGTTTGATATTAACACAATAATTATTTAAAATGTTTATATTATTATTTACCATTGCAGGTAACACACGGTTAATTAAATTCATTTAATTACCCCATACAGTTTACCGTTGTAATAAATGTAATATTTATCTCTGTACAGTACAAGAGTAATATTTATTAATAAAATCTTTCATTATTGAAAATGTATATTTTAGATGTGTAGCCTCAATTGGTCATATTATTCATTTGCTTTGCTCTTTATATTATTATTAATAATTTATTAATATCGATTGTATGTGTGTGTGTGTGTGTGTGTGTGTGCGTGTGTGACATAGATTTAAATTGCACAAATAATTTTCTATATTTCAATGTTATTTCATTTCTTTATTTTCTTAATTTCTTTCTATATGATTTTTTTCTATACGTTTAACGTTAACATTTTTTGTTGTTTTTTTTTTAAATATTTGACCATGTGAATTTACAGATGGACTGGTATAAAATTGCATCGAGAGAGATAAATTCCTGTTGATTCAATGTTAATTTGTATAAAAGGGGGTTTTAAAATTCGATAAAGTCGAAAATTCGATACGTAAAACTTTTGATAAAAATAATCCTTTATTGTTAATCATTTATTGAAAATAAATCAATAAATCTAACGAAGCATTTTAATTTTAATTTTAATTTTTATCTTTGTGTTTTTTATTTATTTATTTATTTTTTTTTTTGAGAGAGAGAGAGAGAGAGAGTATGTTAAAAGAAACATATTGAATATTTCAAATATAAAAAACATTTCATTGATTTCAAATATTGAAATTAAATTGCCTTCAAATGAAAAGTCATTTAATAATTTTTCAATAAATAAGATTGGATTTTATCGGACTATTTTCACGAGCACACATCTTATCGTGATATTTTCAATAAAATTCAATCCTCAATACCCGGTTTTGACAACTTTGGAATATGGTACCCCATCTGCGAATTTCAAATATTAATCTACGCTTTTATTTTTCATACTTTTTTATATCTTTATTCATCACTTGTATATATATAGGGTATATATATCTATATATATAGGGTGTTTGCAAGAGAGAAATTCATTTTCCCTGGTTGAATATTTACCGAATATATATGTCTGTATATACATATATGTAAAATTCTCGTTCTTTGTGTGTATGTATCATCGATATTTGGTTGTTATGATTTATTGACAAATAATACATATGTATAATATTGATTATTTTCTAATGAAATTTTCATTATAATCATATTATTTTATTACTATCTAATAGTACTTACGATCATTTAGTATAGAATTAATTTAATATTAATTTCTATAATTTTGTTATCATTCACAAATATTATTTATTTTATTATTCAAAACATTTCATTGATAACAAGGTTATATCAAAATAAAAATATCATTTGAATTAATTTATAATACATTAGTCATTTACAATGACTAATATTATTTAACTTATAAAAAAATGATTTAACATTTATAAGAAATAAAATATTACATTTAATATTAAACATTTTTAAGTATTACAATTTTTATATTATTTAGAGTAGATTTTGCAGATTTATTTAAAAAATTCTGATACACACACACACAAACAAACACATCCTATTAATTATTATAATAATTATATATATATTTATAATATTATATATATTTAATATTACATAATATAATATATATGTATTTTTATATATACAATTATATATACTAATTGTTATTATTATATTATAATTATATATATATATATATATA